AGGAGCGCGTGTTTCTAGCGCACAGCTCGAATGCGCGCGTAAGGAAGGGGCAAGGAGAGTGGCCAAGGAGGTTTGAAAAGAGCAGAGGCGCCGAGGTTGGAGGCACTGTAAGAAAGCTAGAAAGGGCCCCCGCCTTGCGGCCGTGTGGTACGGGACACACACACACGCTGCCTGCCCCTGCCTCTCTCTCTCTCTCTCTCCCTCTCTCGTGGCGCGAGATGTCGCAGCCCGCTCTGCCCTGGCCTCTCTCTCTCGTGAGCGCGAGAGTACGAGGGGGGGGGGCCAGGCTCGGTGCGCTTCGTGTGCGTTGGATGAGGAAGGGGGGGGGAGCGTGGGCGGCGTTGTTGCAGCGTGGTGGCGTGGGTGGATAAGGAGTCGGGCGCGTTTTTTCAGGCGTTGTTTCTCAGCTGGGGCGCTGGGCGCCGCTCAAAGAGCAAAGTCCCCCCCCCCCCCACACACCCTCTCTCTATCTCTCTCTCTCGCTCTCGCCTACCTGCCAAGCTTGCCTCTCTCTCGCGCCGCTGCGAGCTGCCGAGCGCGGGGCAAGCCCGCTACTGGCAGGCCGGGGACGAAAGGGCGTTTTCATAGGTGGGAGGCCAAGAGGGACCAGCCACCGCGCCCTCCCATGCAGGTTGGGCTGCTGCGCCCCCCCCCCCCTCCTTCCCCCTTGAAATCGAGGGGGGCGAGAGATGGGACGTAGACGAGGCGTGCGAGTGGGGGGGCATAGGAGTGTTTGGGGGGGCGAGCGCAGTAAAGGGAGGGGAAAGGGGGGCAAGGCACTGCCCTCTTGAAGGCTAGCACAGAAAGAGGGTCTTCGATGGCTCTACTTGGCGTCCTTTTCGACGCTTGCAGGGGTCCCTCTGCACCAAACGGGGGCCCAACGTTCTCCTTGCTCTCCCCTTCTTTGCACTTTTGCGCAAGAAAGGAAGCTCACACACACGCGCGCGCGCCCTCCTCCCTCCTCTACGCAGCCTGACAGGCATTGGCGAGATTGTTCTTCTGCCGCTCGACGTGCTCAAGATCAAGCGTCAGACGAACCCCGAGGCGTTTCGCAGCCGCGGCTTCCTGCGCATTGTGGCCGACGAAGGCATGGGTCTGTACCGCGGCGCCGGCTGGACGGCGGCGCGCAACGCTCCCGGCTCCTTTGCGCTCTTCGGAGGCTCGGCATTCACCAAGGAGTACCTCTTTGGCCTGCAAGACTATGGCGCCGCCACGTGGAGCCAGAACTTTGTGGCGTCCATCGGCGGAGCGGTGGCCAGCATTACGGTGGCCGCGCCGCTCGACGTCGTAAAGACGCGCATCCAAAACGCAAACTTTGAGTCCTCGACGGGAGGCGTGACGATCATCAAGGAGATGATTAAGAATGAGGGATTCGGTGCCTTTTTCAAGGGCCTCACACCAAAGGTGAGTTCGTCGTCGTCGTGGCGCCCGCTTGTTACCCTTGCCCTTGTGTGTGTGCCTTCGT